TTATTCCTTTCCAAAAAAAAACACACTTTTTTATTTTTATTACAACCCCCTTCCCCAAAAAAAAAAAAAAAAAAAAAAAAAAAAAAAAAAAAAAAAAAAAAAAAAACCGTTTGGCGGGGTTGTTGGTTAACCAATCACAAGGCAGGTAATTTTGACAAGGCACCGTTGCGGGCAAAGCTGCTATCTGATAATTATTTGACCAGTTACATGTAGCTACAATTTTATCATGCAAATATTTTGACCCAAGCTTCCAATTCCTGACGTCAATTTTTCTCTTGGAAAGCCTCGAGCTTCATAGGGGTCCACGGATCCCAATCTTAACAAGGGCAATTTGGGTCCCTCACTACAACTACCAAACCCCGAAAGAAAGTCTCGAGAACTAATTACAGTGTGATCGCCCTCCCCCCTCCACCCCCACTTTGCATTTACTGTACGCCGCGCGCGCATAATGCACAACGACCTTCTCGACACTGTCCTCGTTAGCAAAGACGTCGCGCTGGAAGGAAACAAAGCAGGAATGAAGGGACCCGGTTCAGAGGCGGCCGCAGGGGCCGAGGAGAAGTGCCCAGTCGACCACAGGACCCGAGAGCTGTGGATGCAACAAGCTCGCGCCGCGCAGACGACATCAGAGCCGAGCAAAGCCAACATTGCACAGCCAACCCCACCACATCCTGTACCACAATCGCTGGCAGCTACGACAACAACAGCAGCGACGGAACCATCAAGCTGGTCGTCATGGTTCCGCCTGCTCCCATTCACCTCGTCACAAACCGCCGCCCCTGCTCCTCCTTCTCCTCCTCCTCCTTCACAACCAAAAAAGCCGTCCATCCTCGACGAAGCCCGCACCGTCTCGTCGATCCCCCGCTCCTCCGTCGCCGGGCCGGCCGCGTGCCCCTCCAACCACGAGCAAGAGACGGGCGCCTCGGAATCGGGACACTGGGTGTACCCTTCGGAGAAGCAATTCTTCGAGGCCATGCGGCGGAAGGGCTTCACCGCGGCCAACGCGGCAGACATGAAGACGGTCGTGCCTATCCACAACGCCGTCAACGAGCGGGCGTGGGCCGAGATCCTAAAGTGGGAGGAGCCCTACAGGGAGGAGTCCAAGGCGTGCGGCGGGCCCAGGCTGTTTTCGTTTGCGGGGGAAAAGGGCAACATGACGCCCAAGGCCAGGATAAACACCATTCTGGGGTACACGGCGCCCTTTGACAGGCACGACTGGGTCGTCGACCGGTGCGGGACAAAGGTGGAATACGTTATCGACTTTTACTCGGGCAGGGGGGGCAGCGACAAGTTGAACTTTTACTTGGATGTGAGACCAAAATTGAATTCGTGGGAGGGTGTCAAGATGAGGTTTGCGAGGGCGACGGGGTTGGCATAATCTCTATAAAATAAATACGTGGAAAGACTGTATGATAAGAAGAAGAGATGTATGATTGCTCGTTTGCATGTTGAAGAGGCGGGAGAATGGCGTTTGGAGTGCGGAAGAGGGAAAAAAAAAAAAAAAAAAAAAAAAAAAAAGAGGAAAAAGAAAATCAGTGTT